CCGGCTCACCGCTTTGCACCATGGCGTCACCTAAAGGAGCGCTGGGCAGGGAGAGGAGTTTTATGAATGGACTTGGCCCACTATGGGCCAGTGAATTTCACCTGGACTCTTAGGAAAACTCAAGAGCGTATTAGCAGAGAGATGGTTGGCAGATCTGCCAGGAGCCGGAGGGCTGGCGCGAGGACGGGCCAGGCCCAGCTCTCCTCAAGCCATTTTCTGGGCAAAGACCAAGCTGGCAGACTGAGGCAGAGCGCCCCCACATTTTAGTATCACGGGGTCAAGTCTCATGCTTCTGGATAGATGGGGGAGATGTGAGTCCAGTGAGAGGGCTGTCCGAGGGATGCCCCCAGCAGACTCAGAGCCTCCTGCTGGAAGGACTTTCCCCAGAGATTGCCCCCAGGACTTGTCCCTGGGTAAAGGCGGCAGACAGAGAGGGCAGCAGGCCATCCAGGATTCAGGTAATGCCCGTCCGGGAGGGATTGCTCCAAGCACACAAGATGCCCGAGTCACAGTCCAAAAGCATCCGGATGGGCTTGAGAACTGGGGCCCAAAGATCGAGACTGAGATAAATGTGCTTCTGTTTTTACATACACGCATATGTGTATACATACGCACCTGTGTATGTGTGTATGCACCCATAGACCGTGGCTATATACGTAATGCGTGAGTGGATGCATACATACATGTGTCACACACACGTGCACACGTGGTGTTCCCAAAGTCTCCGTGTATGTATTTTAATAGGTACGAATATATAAAGTATTTTACCTGGCCTCCAGAAACTTTCCAAGCACACGATGGGGAGGCATGGTTCCAGAGCAGTCTGTCCATGACAGTTTAGGGGGCTTTCACGAGCTGCCCATTTTCACACTTTGACATGCCCCCCCCCCCAATTTAAAGTGCTCTTGGCCTCCATTGAGAGGCATAGCTTCCAGATGAGGGGGTGGAAAGCTCAATATCAGGAGTATTGCATCGGGCCTCCTGGAAGGTGCCTTGGGTGCAAAGAGAAGCATCCGACGGCCCCTCCAGTTCACTGGCTTACATTTTACCAGGGGATGCTGCATGTTCACCACTAAGGTTCATATATAGGGTACACACACAGTGATGATGGGGGGATTAGGAAAAGCCTCCCTCCGGAAGGATGAGAATTGGTGGCTTTGCAGACCAGGTGCTGGGGGGCGGACTGTCTTCTGGGGAGAGGGACAAACCTGCCCAGAGGTGGAGGAAAGCAATGGGTGGGCCACGAAGGATGGGCTAGACAGAAAGGCTTCACAGACCCAGCAGAGGCACTAGGGAGCCCTCCCACTCTTCCTTCCCTCCCTCCCTCTCTCCTCCCTTTCCTCCCTCCTTCCCTTCTTCCCTGACCTGTGGCCCAGCATTCTTCCCAGCACCTAGTGCAGCTGATCTGAATGTCTACAGGGCACCACTGACTTGTCAAAAGGCCAGAGTGGATTGAGTTAGAAGTAGTAAGCATATGGCAACCAGTGGGTCAGAAACTCCATGCACACCCCCAATTTTTGCTAGCACATTCTTGTGTAAATCTATGCGGAGTTGGTTTCAAATTCATGGCATCCAGAACCTTTAATCACTCCCCTCTTGGCTTTAAGTAGAAGATGACTCTGAGAGAGCAGGCCCTGAATGAGGCTGTTGGCAATGAAGGTGGACAGGGATGGTTCTTGGGGGATCCCACCCAGGACGGGGAGCAAGGACCAGGCGCAGGGGTTGCGTTTGAACTTTCTGCCACGTGCAGTCGTGGGCACTCGCGATCCAAGGGGGTGTTTGGAGTAAGGGAAGGGTTAGTGTGCCCTCCTCAATCTGCAGCATCCTGCAAAGACTGTCTGGCGAGTTCACAGGGAATCCCTTCCTCTCCCTGTGCAGCCCAGCGCCTGCTCCAAAACTTAGAATCTTAGAGAAATCACCGGTGCACCCAGCCTGTTCAGTGACTTGCCCAAGGTCTCAGGGCCTGCTGGTATCCAAATGGGTCTTGAACCCTGGACATCCTGACCCCAGAGCCTGAGTTCTTTCCCCCGCAGCCCTGCTACCGCCTCTGAGTAGCATCACCCTTGTTTGATATATGAGCAACTAGTTGGTCAGTGAGCCTTTATTAAGCTCCTACTGTGTGCTCTGGGCGTTCTGCGGATACACAAATGGAGTAGTCTCTGCCTTAAGGAGTTAAGCACACCCCCCTTCTTTTTCATACTGACAAGAAAAAGCACCAAATAAAATGGTCATTTCTGTATGCAAAGTAAAACAGAAGAAGCAGATTGTACATGAGGCTGCTGACCCACTATAAACTGCTTGCTTTTCAGGTGCATCCTCCATTCAACATGTATTTTCACAGCTGCCTTGCAAATCTGCCTCCTGACCTTTCTTCTGACTTTTGTGGGCATTTTTAAAAGCCTCAATGACCCTCTTTTATTTTTCTTTGCAAAAGTTGATTTTGGTAACTAACCCTATCGCTAACATTCTCCCCCCAAAAAACAAAGATGCCGAGACAAGCGAAGCATCCCCTGCCCCAACGGGCCCCTCCTCAGCCTTCTCTTCCTGCCCCTCTGCCCTTCTTGGCCCCAGGGAGGGGTGTCTGGCTTCACAGCCAAAGGCAGGTTAGATGGTAGCAGCATCCTCAAGAAAACAGCCCAGACCGACTGAGGCCCTCTGACCAGGCCGGACCAGGCACGGTTCCAGAGGCCCCGGGCTGGAGGAGCACCGTACAGTAAATCCCTGAGGAAGGCGCAGTCATGAGAGATTTGAAAGCACAGTCCACATCTGGGCACGTGTGTGAGGGTTCGTGCATGGGTCTGACTTCTAAAGCATCAGAGGTTGGCACTGCCCTCAGAAACCGCTGCCAGTCCCACCCAGTGCCGGGCAGCCTCTCCTGAAAGGTGCAGCCGCGTGGGAATGCTTTACTCATCCTGTTGGGTGCTGCCTCTTACGGCCGCTCAGCTAATTGAGGCATCCCCTCCCTCCTGTGTGGCCACGTTCCCTGGGCCTGCACACTGCACATGATGGCTCCCACGAAAGGGCAGCCGAGCAGCCGAGCGGCTTGCTCAACGCCACGCTGTCGGAGGGAAGCTGGTGGCGTTACTGTGCAGCCCAGTCCACACGCCAGAATTGGCCGCCGTTTCCCGAGCAGCTCGATGGCCGGGCTCTCCAGCGATGGCGCTGGAAGTCTTCCACTGTTGCTGGTCCCGGTTCCATTTGTACACAGAGCCCTCATTTTATTCCTGCAGCTTCTGTGAAGTTTCAGGTCTCCCCTCTCCTGCCGGTCTAACCTGCCTCCTTCTCTCCTTCTGCCAAGAGAAACACAAAGCAAACTGGTGGGCAGTGGGAGCGAGAGGGGACAGAGGGAGCTGGCGTCCGTCCCTGCCAACGCGGACGCGGCTCTCTCATTGTTCCGGCTTTGGGTGGTGGCTGTTTTTCCCCTGGACAGAAATTCCCCGAAACCTCTGAGTGCAGGAAGTTGGGAGCCTCCTGGCTCACCCCCACAATCACCACAAGAATCATCATAAGTAACAATTTGATTTCAAATGAACCTTTCGGAGAAAAGCATGGTAAACAGTGTCTGTTTGCCTGAGGAAACCCTCCTAGCAATCAGTGCTTGCACAACTGCATGTGCTAATGAGCCTGCTCTGTAATGTGCTTTCTCCAGTTAAATTGATTCATGAATTTTGAAGAGAACATTATCTAATGAATTTTCTTTGAATAGAAAGCAATTAAAAGGACAAATCAGTCTGATTAACCCCCCAGTCACCCTCCTGCCACAAATGGTGTACAGTTTGAAATTATATCATAAAAACTAGAGCACGCTTCCTATCTGCTGCCCTCTCCTAATCCATGTAAATGGATGAACAACAAAGTTAATTTCTTTGATGACCCTGTTCTCATATCACCTGGATTATGCTGATGTTTAATTTGCTTAATGCTATAATAAAGACTAAACAGATTTTTTTTTCCAGGGAAGTGATTAGCGTTCTCTCCAGTTAAGAAGTGATTTTTGTTATTTAACGCACATACAGTGGGGTCCTTCCCTTTCGGAGCACAGCCCTCCGCTTTGTGAGTTTGGGACCAAGTGGAGTATCGGTGGCGTTGCAGCCGCCGCCCACGGAGACATGCCTGTTGTTGTAGCTGTCTCCCCTGGAAAACCGGGGCCTCCCTGGCTCTCTGGGTCCCCAACCTCAGGGCAAAGCAGCCTGCATCCTCTCCAGCCACTCCGAAGCCCCACATCACGCCTTGAGAAGGGCAGGGGCGTACTGACTCAAGCCAACCCCACAGCGAGGCTGGGTGGGGGTGTCTCCTCTGTGAACTCGGTGCCTGCCGAGGGAAAATTTAAAACCTGGGGGTGAGGGGGATTGCTCTTACACATTCACGCATTCACTGCTTCAGCCAGATGAAGAGCAAATGCAGTTTAATGTGGATTGTCAAGTAAAATGGGAATAAAGTTATTTTATCTTGGCAGGCCTTTTCATTAAAGATGCCCGTAGCCAAGGTCGTGGCCAGTCCCTGTATTCTGAGAATGCCTCGCGTTCTGAGCAGTCGCTCGGGGGATCTCCAGTCTACCGCAGAGGGCCGGGGTAATGCTGGCCCCGGCTCGGCAGCTTCTTTCCCCTCTGTGTCTCAGCTGAAGTTTGAAATTAGCTGGTAATACAAAAGGTCGAGGGCAAGAAACCCGTTCTTTCTCTGCCTATTAATTGGGCCTTGCGCTAATTCCTACCTGCCCACCTAATGGAGAAGCCCACTTTGGAGCCATATGTGGCATGGGGAAGAGCTTAGATAAGAATGAGGAAGTCTCTCTGCACCTGCAGGGTCAGCCGCCACGAAGGTGGGCTTCTGCCCCGGGAATCCTCGTCACCCTTGAAGCTCCCGGCCCCGCCTGATGACGACAAGGTCAACGGGCCGTGGCGGAGCCGAGAGAGACGCCTCCGGGTGCCGGTGTGGGCCGCTGTTTATAATGGATCCGTCCGTTGGACGGAACGGTGTCATTCTCCATCTTTCTCTTTCAGACTCTTTCAGAAGACAGGTGTTGTGGAAGCTGATGGCAGCAGTGAAAGTGGGAGACACCGTTTCCTACCAGCAGCTTGCAGCCCTGGTGGGGAAGAGCGGAGCCGCCCGAGCTGTCGGGGGAGCCATGAGGGACAACCCGGTAAGGACGCATCCACTTCTGGACCATGACGCGGGAGCTCGTGAGGGCTTCGTCCTCTGTGTGCGCACAGCGATGCTTTCGTGGGATTTCTCCTTTGTCCTGGGCAGTTCGGAAGGGCGCCTCTCCGTCCGTCTGTTCATCCCTGTAGGGGTTGTGTCCGTCTCCTGGCTGCCGGCTCTCTGGGAGGCCTCCTGTCACAGAGGGGGAGCGTTCCTCGCCACCAGTCAGGCAGTCAGCATCTCTTTATTAGGCACCGACTGTGTGCCAGGTACCAGGGATACAAGGACGAAGAGTAATGATCAGCTTGCACGTCTGCAGCACTTTCTGCTTTGCAGAGCACTAGACACGTTGTCTCATTTGTCCTCACCCCAGCTCTGGGAGGTGGCTACTTCTCTTACTCCAATTTACAGATGAGGAGACTGAGGCACAGATAAGTTAAGTGACTTGTCTGAGGCAGGTTCCTGACACCCACCAGTGCTCTCCCCACCCCTTTACCGCCCAGCCCTAGTGGCAGCGAGTTTTCATTCGAGTGGGGGAACCAGAGGGTACATTTGAAAATACAGCCTGCAGAAAAACAAAGTCAGTAAATACAGACGAATAAAGAGTTCGTGAATATAGGTGCGTATATGTGCACACATCCCCCATCTACCTCCTGTGTGTGTGTGTGTGTCACACACACACACACACACACGCACACACACACCCCAAGTAGTTAAATACATGTATATAAGTATATAGGTGTGTGTTTGGCCTCAGACGCATTCAGTCACGTGTCTTCACACATACATGTACAATTATAAATGCCATGTATGCCGGGTAGGACCTGCACCCAGCGGGGTCCTCTTCTCAGCTGGCTGGTAAGTGGGTTATTCCAGGCCTGCGGACCTGAGTCCTAAAATGGGGGCTGGGGCACCTCATGGAAGTGGCATCGCGGACAAACGCGGCCAGGGAAGATGCCGGATTCCACGCGCCTACTTCAGGGGGTATCTCCTTCATTCTGGTTGTGCTTAACAGTGGAGAGGGGGACATTTCTCAAATTAGAACCCCTCCCTTATTTTCAGGTTCTTTGCTTTTAACTCGAGTCAGGTCTGAAGTCACCCAACGGCCGTGCCCGGCTGGCACCTAGAGCTGGGTGGGTGGTGGCACACACAGAAGTGGCCGTGGCGTCTCTCCTTCCTCAGCCCCGTGCACACTGATGGCCGGCTCTCCCTGACTCAGAAAGGACCGATAGCTTGTAACTGACCCACATGGAGGGGATGGGGGGCTCTGAGGCCCCAGACACATCCTGGGGGGCTGGGGGAAGGGGGAGGGGGAGACACCTGTGACTGTGGGAAGACCAGCCCTTTGGTGCACAAAATGGCCACGCACGTGTACTCTTGTGGAATGTGCAGAGGATCCAGTTGTAGCCTGGGAAATGTGGGGCTTTTGTCTATGTTGGGGCCTGTGGATGACCACCCGGGAATAGGGAAGCCCTGTTTCTGTTGGGCAGTGAGGGTTGTTCCCTAAAGCTGGACAGAAGTCTGTAGGACAGGATGAAACGGCACCATCATTTCAGGGAGAGCAAACGCCCTGGTCCCATGACAGGATGGGAAGTCACTAAAATCAGAGAGATCTTTAAAAAAAGAAAAGACGACTGCCGTGTCTACTCTCTGTGTTCAGTGTTCTTGTCCCTTCTCACGACGGAGAAGGCAGTGTTTCCACCCTGCTGCCAGGATGCCAGGCTCCCGTGTGCCTGAGGGCAAAGCGGGCTACGTTTCTTGGAGATGGCAATTACATCGTTTGCACAGAAATGCGTTGTGATCCTTTGAGCAGCCTCTCCTTTCGGGTTGCGTCATCTTCACGTGCCCCCTTATCTCATGGAGGGTTCTCTGCCCTATTAGAATGTCCTGTGTTGTCAAGTACGGTCTGTGGTATTGACAAACCATTGCTTGTGGCCCCTCATTTTCCCGGGTCCCGGGATGACTGTTCTGGGCGTGCAGGCGTGCATTTCCTTCTGCGCCTTATATCCTGCTTGGAAGGTGCCTGTGATGGTGTTAGAAGTGACACCTAAGCGGCGAGGGGGCCTTGTGAGCGCGCTGGCAGACTTGGGAGGGCTCTGTCCACTTCCTCTGGCAGAGGGCATCGTGTGCCGCCGGCCGAGCCCCAGCCCGGAGAGGGTGGCAGCTCACACATGACACATTCTCCTTCCGAGGCTTCCCAAGCACAGCTGTGACCGGACGTTTCCCCTTCGGGTCCCCAGGCCAACCAGCATCCTTCCAGGAGACAGTTCTGTCGTTGGAGGCCTTTGGCTAAGCTAGACCAGCCCCAGCTGCATTTAAATCTGAAAGGGCTATCCTGGGCCTGAAACTGCAGCTGCTGCCCCTCACTTTTCAAAAATAGTTTTTCTGCATTTCTTAAGAACATGTTTATTTCTTGTTCGGTCAGTCGCCATTGGTCTGCAGGACATCCACAGTGTCTGTGTTCAGGCATCGATTGTGCTACAGCCAGCCAGCAGCAAGCACCTACTGTGGGCTGGACATCTGTTCCTACCCCTCATTCCACTGGTTGTTCCCTGGCCAGTCGGTCCAGCTTGACAGAACCGGACGCACAGTAGGTGCTCACTAAATGCCAGTTCTAGGCCCTGGAGACAGCGTGCAAACAACTGCGTCCTGGCCAGACAGAAGCAGGCTAATGGGGAGGTGACCAGTAGGGACAGCGCTCGCCTGAAGGGGAGCGCCTGGGTTCCTGCAGCCGTGGCCGGCTCAGACCAAGATGTCGGCTGCATCCATGTACCATTCTGGAGCCGTTCAGCAAACGTTTGGGGCCCCGACTGTTCTGAAGAGGCAGTTCAGGCTCATCAATTCCTGGAGGTCCAGGGGTAAGGGACAGGCCGTGGACAGACAGGCAGGTCCCGTACTAGGAGGCCTGTGATTTGGGGAGCAGAGAACACAAGTCAAAGGTCTGGAAGGCTTCTTGCAGGAGGTGGCAGATGAGCCAATCCTAGAAGGAAAGCATGATTTAAACACACAGAGAGCGAGGGAGAGGCACCTTCTGGGCCTGGACGCCTGGCTGGTCAAGAAGGCCGGCTGGCCGAGCGCTCACATCTTGGGGAGGGGGGGGCCTTTCCTTCATCCTCTTAGAGTCTGTCTTTTCCTGTGTGTAAAGGACAGCGGGGGGGGGGGGGGGTGCTCTCTACAAGGTTCTCTTTTTAGTTGGGTTCCTTCCCATAATTCATACAGTGACCTTCAACTTTATGAGAAGGTGGAGAAGGTGCCGGCAGCAGCTGAGACATGCACCGTCTGGGCTGGAAATTACGCCGAGGACATGCCGGGGGTGGCTCACCTTTGGCAAGAAAATCTTCCAGTAGTTTACTGCGATGGAGATTGGCTGTGAGGCCTGTGGGCCCCCAAGGGTGCCCATAAAGCTCAATTAAAAACCTCATTAGAATAGGAGAGGAGGACTGGAAAGGCATCGGGGCCCTCCTGGGAGATGGGGGACATTAGGACGGTGCCTTCCACGGCCCTGCTCGCCTCAGGGCAGGTGTCCACTCACGCCATTTCTGTGGCTGTCGGGCCACAAAGAGCCGAGTGTCTCGCCCAGCCCAAGCATCAGTCACGCCTAAGGGGAGGGCGTGTTCAGCCACGCTGAGAGCCGGCTGCAAGGAGGCAGAAGTTGGGGGCATCGCAGAGCGGCGCTGCTTTACGTGTCCTTGGGTGACTATCAGTAAACGCGAGCTGTCTCTGATCCCTCTCGCGGTGTTGGGTGTGTTGTTTTCCATTTCTCCGAAATCCGGCTGAGGGGAAAGGGGAATTTGGGTGGCGGGAAAGCTCGCCCATCGTCCATTGCCTCCCATCGAGGAGCCCGAACGAGCTAGCCTCCCATCTTTTTTTTTGGGTGAGGCAGTTGGGGTTAAGTGACTTGCCCAGGGTCACACAGCTAGGAAGTATTATGTGTCTGAGGCTGGATTTGAACTCAGGTCCTCCTGACTCCAGGGCCAGTGCTCTGTCCACTGCGCCACCTCGCTGCCCCTCAACACCCCCCCAACCCGATTCCTGCAGTTTTGTCCGTGGCCAGAATTTGCTCGGTGCAGGTTAGGGCAGTCAGTGTTTTGGGCAGTGAGTCCTCCCCGCCTTTCTCCAAACAAACGCGTTTTCCAGGAGCCGGTTTATTCACCACTCGCCGTGAACGCTAATGACCGAGTGAGCTTGTTCTGCCAGGCTCCTGGGCGGCGGCGGCGGCTGATAAAGATTTAGCGTCGTGTTCTAGGTGTCAGGGCTGTCATCGTGCTGAGCCATTTGACCAGAAGAAAAAACGCCCAGGGAGTTATTGATCGCCGCGTCTCCGTGTCACTTGTACACCAGGATTTAGGTATTGATGAGGCTGCCAGTGAAAACAAGCTCTCTCCCTTGTGGGCTGCTACCCAGAAGAACGAGCGCAAAGTTGGAGAAGATGCTCAGCCTGTGCCAGCATTGGAGGGATTCCGCTATTGACCGAGAGGCCCCTCCCTGTGATTCTTGTTGGAGACAGATCCATAGGTCTGGGAGCTTTGTAGCATTTGAGAGCGGGGCTGTGCGAGGCCTGGATCCCGGCAGGAGGATTTCAGGGGGCTCTTAAGACGAGGAGCTTCTTGGGTGTTGATGAAAGGCACGTGTCGAGGCAGGGCAGGCTTTAAAGAAGGGAGAGCCGGCCTCCCGTGAAAACGGCCTCAGGACCCCCAGGAGCTACAGCGAGTCTCGTCACTTTAATGGCCGTCAAGCGGATGACAGAGTTAGCCCAGAGAGAAGCGCAGCCATCCGTGTTTCTCCGTGATGCGGATGGTGAGAGTCAGGGAGGGCTCAGCCTCTCGCCCCTTCTGGGGAGAGAAGCCGACCAGAGTGCGGCTGTCTGGCCCCGCGTCCACATCGCCGACGCCTGCCTGGGGAAGGGAGCAGCAGGACTCATTTTAGGTTTTTAAAGAGCAGGTCAGAGGAAAGAGGACCGGGGCCAGGCCCCCCATTTTGTATCTGATCCTGTGACAGTCAGACAGAGTCTGCGTTGTCACTCCCGTCTAGGTTGCCCAGCATTTTAACCCCGCCCCCGGCTGCTGCCCCATTTGGACCTCTGGATTTGGTAAGGAGGCGCTAGAGGAAATATTGCTGTGTCCCCGGAGACGGCGTGCTCGTTTTCCTGTGACAGACGTTTCAGGAATGGTAGTGATCGCCACTAAAAATGATGGAATTCTGCCCTTCTTGTGATCTGCCAACTTTTCACACAGAATTCTGGGAAAGTTTCTCTGTACTTAAAGAGCAGATTATTTATGGTCTACAGATCAGAGGAGAAGCTCCGTTAGGCTGCACGGACGGGGCGAGGATGCTGTTTGGACAGTCACGTGGGCTTTGCGTGGTGGGCTGGCCTTGAGTCTGAAGGACAGGCAAGAAGTCACTTAGCCCCTCTCTGCCTCGGCTTCCTCATCTGGAAAATTGAGGCGTTGGATTCAGGTCTGAGGTCCTCTGATCTTTGAAATGGCACCGAGGTCTGTGGTGCTAAAGCTGTGATGCCCCCAGCGAACTGTCCCCATGGCCTGCCCGCACCTGTGTTCACCACTTCACCCTCCTGTGAGTCAGAAATGTTCCCTCCACAGATTCCGTCCTCTCGGGGTAGACGTTAGCCAGTCCTTATACCCAGGTGCAGCCCGTTAGAGCTAACCGTTTCTTAAGTGCTTTACACATGTGACCTTCTTTGAGCATCACAATAACCCTGGGAGGGTGGTGTCATCATTATCCCCATTTTACAGATGAGGAAACTGAGGCTGGGATCAGACAGGATTTCAACCCAGGACTTCCAGACACTGAATACAGTCCTTTATTTGCCACATTACTTATGTATCAGCGAGTCTTCATGAAGGCGTTTTCACTCATTCATTCATAGCAGAGCATTCAGGATGGTAATGGGGCACCATTACCAGTCCATTGCTAATTAGAGGAAGAGGTGGCTGCTGATAGTAAGAGGGGAATGGGGAGAGGGGTGGGGTGGGCACCATTAGGAAGTAGAGGCAGGGCCACAAGGAGTCTCAGAACCATTTGTCCATCTGAGAGTTTGCGCACTCAGCCCATGCCCAGCTGTAGAAATAGCAGGCAGCATTCCTACGCTCCTTGAGTGGTTAGCGGCCTGTCTTTGGTCCATCTCCAGGGGATCAGCCAAGCCCACGAGGCTGGACGGTCTATGGTGATCCGTTTGGGATTTCCTTTTCCGCTCTTTGTTTCAGTTAGGCTGTGGAACCCTAAATAAATAGACTGGGGAGCTTCTTTATAGTGACAGAGCTCCTGGTTTCCTCATGGTTGAGGTGAGAGGCTCGGAACCCGGATATCTGAGATTCCTTCCCATTCTACATGGTCTGAGAAGCCCTCTGAGCTGACGCTGCCCGCCATGTCCCATGTTTGAGCACCTGTCAAGCCCCCACAAGGCTCAGGTGCTGTCGGTGAGCCCTTTGTGGGCGTTTCATGATTCTTGGTTTTCCTTTTTAAGTCAGAATCCTCTACTCTCTGTAAGGGAGTGGAGACTGGAGCCCAGTCAGGAGACCGCCACCCACCGGCTGACCGGGGACCACAGAGACCCCTCCCACCCAACTTGGCAATTCTGCGGCTTCTCAGATCGTAGATTTAGAATGGGGAGGGAGAGACTTAGACAAAGACCACCGGTCCTTCCCCCCACCCATTTTACAGATGAGTGATTGCGGCTTGCTCAGGGTCATGGAGATGGAAAGTGGCGGACAGGAGAGGCGTCTTCAGAAGCTACAGAATGAACCTTCTGGTGGAATCGCAAGAGGCGTTCTCTCCTCAGTGGCACAGAGTTTTCCTAAGGAAAAGTTTGGACTCTTCAGAAAACCAAGGGGAGACACCTCTTGCTCGCTCCCCTGACCCCCCTTAAGCCCCCTCTCCGAGGAGGAGAAGGCACCCCAGCGTGGGGGCAGTCCTGGGCTGGCACTGAGTCCCTGCTGACCGACACATGCCCTGACTCGACTTCATCCGTAGAAGGAGGGAATGCGTGGCATCCTCCCCCATCTCTGAGGCTGCGAAGCCCTTTACAGATGCTGACACTGGATTGATTAGTTGGGTTTGGGGCAGGGTGAAGGCTGGGGAGAGATAGAGACACCTTAATGAAAATGACCGACAGCCAGGCTTTGAACCCACTGCCATTAGAAAGTCCCCTTTAGAGCCTGTTCCTGTCCGAGGCCTCCTTGGGCATCTGGGAAAGCCTCTGGACTCTTCTCCTAAAAATATATAAAGTAAGATACAGAGATCACAAAGAGAACCACTTAGACTGAAATGGTTATCAAAATATTTTTTAAAACAAGTTCACAGGGGGCAGCTAGGTGGCTCAGTGGGAAGAGCACTGGCCCTGGATTCAGGAGGACCGGAGTTCAAATGCAGATTCAGACACATAACACTTACTAGCTGTGTGACCCTGGGCAAGTCACTTAACCCCATTGCCTAGCCAAAAAAAAAAAAAAAGAACAAACAAAAAAACAAGTTCACAGGCCACCAAGTTAAGAGCCCCTGCCTTAAAACAAGTTCTGTAACCCTGGACATCTGCGAGCTCTCAGCTTGGTTCCTCGGTGTTGGGATTTTGACCGGTTCTAGCCCGGCCGAGGGAGAGAACCCACAGTCCAGGCTTTGGCTCTCGCTGCGCCCAGGGAAGCCAAAATCAACCTTGTTCAAAGGGAACCCTCTTCCATGGAAGCCAACCTGAGGTCCTCTGTCTCCTCGTCTGCCTGGTTTGTCCAGCAGCCCCCTGGCGATGGTAGTGTGACCTGGGAGAGCAGAGGCCTCCCCAGGAGGGGCTTCCAAAGCTGGAAGGGATGGGGTAGTGAGCCCATATATGCCATCAAGCCTTCCCAGTCCCAGCCTGAGCTCATGCCATCTTCCCATAGGCTAAAACTGGGCACGCCTCTCTCCCTCTCCAGACCCCTTGGTGCCCATGCTCTTGGCCTGCCAAAGTCATCGGAGCACCTACACGATCTGTCACCCAGGGGCCTCAGCGTGCCATAACCAACCTCAGCCCTGCCCACTCTGCTGGACCAGCAGAGTTTGACGTGGCCCCTGCCCTGCCCTGGTGGCACCATCACTGACCCCCAGACTTCCTAAGAACCCCCTCCCCAAGCAGTGACCTCTTTCTCACTCTCTCTTCCAGATCCCAATCATCATTCCATGCCACCGAGTGATCTGCAGCAGTGGAAAAATTGGCAACTACACGGGAGGAGTGGGCATAAAGGAGTGGCTTCTGGACCATGAGAAGCGTGTGAAAGGAAAGTGGGCCGACTAAGGCTGCCCACCGCTAGCGCCAGGCCGCTTCTACCCCCAGGCCCAGCACAGAGCATAGCTTCGCAGCCAGATCACACAATGCACGCATGCACAGGCAGAATTTAGTGGGGGGGGGGAGTTGTTAAACGTTTGAGGGTTACGCAGATAGAATGCAGCATCCAAGGGCTGTGGGCCGGCATGGGGTGGCACCCTAAGTTAAAGAAGCAGGTTGGCTCCCGGGGGACCCCACTGGTGCCCCCTTTCTGGCAGCGAGTCCAGCGACCGGCGCCTGGCATCACCGCCTGTACTTTGTTCCCGTCTCCAGCCCTGTTTGTGTTCTATTTTTAATGCCCGTTAAAGCAAGGATAAGGGAGTGGGAGGGGCCTGGGGTGAGGGGTGCCGTGGCCCCTGGAAGGAAGCATCTGGCTCACCAAGGGGGCAGCCAGGAGCCAAAGGCCCAGCAGAAGCTGCCACACACGCCCCTGGTTCCTGCTCCCCCTCGGGTATTTGCCAAGGCTGGAAAGCTGACCGTCTGCCAGAAGTACTGCCCAAGATTCTCCTGCTTGCTTTGAGGTTTGAACTGTGGAAATGGTGTTTTCCAGCTCTCACTGCCACCCCTTCCTTCGCCGTCCTTCAGAAGGAAATCACCAGTGAATCACCCTTCCCACTCCTGGAGATGCTGAGACAGTGGTAGTCGATGTCACCAAAACCAGACCTGAAAGCCTTCTTTTAGGAATGCGATGGGGCAGGGGAGGAGGAGAGAGTTGCTTGTTTGCTTCTGCTAACGTCTGTTGCATTTGAGGTGTTTGGGGTGCGGCTTTCTGAGAAATAAAGCTTTACATCAAGGTTTGCATCCTGTCTTCTGTGTGCATTTGACTTTGCCTCCCTGTAGACAGCCGTTCAGGGGCACAGAGGCAGCTCTGGACTCGCCCTGGGCCCCTGAACGGTCTCTGCTCCGAGGGGACCAAAGCCGGTGAGGTCAGTGACTTTACCTGCCATTCTTGGCCTGGGAGCAGCAAGGTGGGCGGAGGGGCTGACTGCCTTCACGTCTGGGCTTTCCCACAGGTGAGATATCTCCAGACATTAACTGCCAGCCACAGTGCACCCTTCGTGAACATGCCGTCATTTTAACTTTGTAATTAGCTGGGCAGGGAGAGTGTGAGGGATCTGTGTACGTGCACGTGTGCACATAAATAAAATCACACGCAAGGTAGAGAAAATAAGCTGGGCCCCACCAGGCCCCCTCCAGCTGCAGTTTTGGGCAAGGTTTTGGGGACCGTGTAGACCACGGCCCAAACCTCAAGGAGTTACCCCAAGACAACATGGTGGCCTCCCAAAATGGAGAGGCACGGTGCCTTTATCTGTGCCAAACACTGATGGCAGCCAGTGTGGTGGAGATGGCAGAGGTATGCTCGTGCCCTTGCTCCTGGGTGTCCGTTTCCTGAACCCTCCTCCCAAGCACTGCTGCTTTCATCCAAAACATTCCCCTCCCAAAATAAAACATTTCCCTCCTTGCATCACCTCCTTGTCCTTGGCCTCAGTGATATTATCTCTCTGCAGTTCCCCAGCCCAGCTCCCTGGAAGAGCCCAGGCTGGGCAGCTGGGTTTGTTGACAAAGATTGAGCCCAGCTCACGGGGGTGGGGGTGGAGAAGGACGCCTGCCTTCTGGCCTGGAGAAGCCAGAAAATTGAGCCAGTGGGCAGCCTCTGTGCAGTGCGCCCTCTGTGTGCACTCTGCATTTCAGGAGGGGTGGGCATTTTTTCCTTACTTCCTTGGAGGTTGAGTGGAGAGGGCTGGGCCACCCTCTGTATTTCCCATCCAGGACAGGGACATCCACCTAGGTCTGATAGGAAATGCTTTAGAGCAGAATGGGGAATCCCTGAGGACAGCTGCCTGACATTGTCAGAGGTGGGGGAGTTTGGCGCAGGGGTGTTGCATGAACAGGCGCCACAGGGAATTTACCTAGCCCAGTTCATTTGTCGGCTCCAGGCCCAGCTATCTCTTTTCTGGCCGTGTTTTCCAACAGAGGGCACTGTCGTTAAGAAGAATTACATGGATGGGCTCCACAAAGTGTGGAGAAGACCCTCACTCACGATTTTTCCCCCTCCTCTTTAAGAATGAGTTTAAAAATGAGCAACCCAACCAAAAATCTCCCAATTGCCTTGTTTACAGCATTTCAGACAGGCAGCCTCAGGATATTACAGGACTGGTCTTTGGGTCCCACTGATGGGCAAAAGATGAGCCGCCATCCCCCCAGCCTGATGAAAAATGGCCTTTGTAGGTTACGGATTTCAGAAAGCACTCATTTTGCACTCTGGGGTGAATGCTAATGAGGAAGGGGGTCAGCCACCCCAAACCTCAATGTTCTCGGAAAAAGACATGGGTCTGTAGTGGGACCTCCCTGGGTGCAGGAGCCTTCCTCCTCCTTACGCATAGGGTACCAGTAGGAATGACCTGCCTGGATAGTGAGTGAATGGGCAAAGATGCCCTGCCTCTTAGGAGGGGTCCAGTCACTGATGGCATGATCCGGGTGAATACAGAATGAATGAACAAATGTCATAGGCTCACAGATTTAAACTTTAAAAGGACCTTAGAGGGGCAGGTAGGTGGCAAAGTGGATAGAGCACCGGCCTTGGGGTCAGGAGGACCTGAGTTCAAATGTGGTCTTAGACCAGGCACTTGACCCTTACTAGCTGTGTGATCCTGGGCAAGTCACTTAACCCCAATTGCCACACCAAAAAACAACAACAATAAAAGGACCTTAGAGATCCTTTAAACCACCTCCCCCTCATTTTGTGGAAAAGGAAAATGTCCCAAAGCGGTTATAACTTGCCCAAGGCCACAAAGGCAGAGCCATTCTGATTAGAGGGCAGGCCCTCTGGGTCCACCCTTCCAGTCACCGCACGCTATCCCAGCCCCGCACTCTATTCTGTCAGACGGCCGCCGTCGCTGGTCCAAACATCCTAGTTGGATGGTGACAGCTCTGTACCTGTCGCGCAGAGTGAGCTGAGCCGCAAGCGCTGGGCCAAAATAACTGAACTGAGAAAACAGACCTGGGACCCTCGCTGTTGTGGCACCACAGACCCAGTTTTCTCCGAGGGTTTTCCCCGCCCTGTCCAGCGACCTTGAGGCCCCGGTTCCGACTGTCTTGTGCGGCTCGCGACAAGCCCCAGGCATCCAGGGAAGACCCTTCTGGCCAGTGGGTGGAGAAGAGCGCGTCCAGAGGAGCGCGAGGAGACGCAAAGGTCCACTCCCACATGCGGAGGAGGAGCAGAGAGGCACCGAACCGGTTTCTCAGTGCCTCGGGATTGGGTTCCACTGACCGATCAGGTTTCCTCCCCTCCGCCCTGGAGTTCTGTGGACTGCTGACATCGAGCCGCTGGGCAGCCCGGGCAGCGGCGCGGTGGTGAGCTACGGCTCATGCTGGGTTCGCCCACTTCCCGAGACGAAGATAAGGAAAGACTCAGAAATAGCATTTGTTTTGGCTGGGGCGCATTTCCAGTGAAATAGATGCCCTTGACCATGGAGAGGGCTGAGGTCTGCAGTAGGCTGTCATTTCTCTTGCCCCCATAGAAACCAAAGCTTTCCAATAAAATCACACCGAAACTGGGGTGAGTCTCCAGAAGTGGTGGGAACCCAGCAGCAACGCGGCTAGGCTTGTGGGAGAGCTGTGGACCCACCCAGAACTAGAGGACCAATGGGGTGGCTTTCCACTGGGGCAGCGGCAATTAAAATAATTAAGTGAGAATGCTGAGCAGAGAAGGACCACGATCCACACCGTGGTGGGGAGGGGGGGGGTCAAGGTGAGAGCAGATGCTCTTTGGGGAACATAGCAGGAAGGGTGATCTCTGCTGTCTTCTCCAAGTGTTTCAGAGATGTCCTGTTTCTTAGCAGGTGCCAGGTCACCGGCGGCATGATCCAGGTCAAAGGTTGGCTAATAATAATGTGCAAAATACGGGCCCATCATCCCTGATGCCAATTTCTATGCCTTTTGCATTTTTCTACTTTCATAGAATGGCAGAAAGGGATGGAGTAAGGGGGATCTGGGTTCAAATGTAGCCCCAAACACAGGCTGTGATACCCCAAGACTAAGGGGATTAAGTGATTGACTCAGTTTCCCCATCTGTAAATGGGATTACCGTAGCACCTTGCTCATAGGATTGCTGGGAAAGTCAAAAGAGATAATTTGATAAAGTGCTTCCCAAGCCTTCAAGTGATACAGAAAAAGATGAGTCTCTGTTATTAATTTTGTTATGAATGGTACCATATTTGAGTTGCCATGTATACATTCAATGAGATGATATATGCTAACTCTCATTATTATTATAGAATAAGAATGATGCATTTCTGCTGAAACTTTTTTTGTGTTTCCCAAACTGTTGATGAACACAGGTGTTCCTCCTGACTCGTTGCTTTTAAAAATGCAGCATAAGAATAAAAATCTATAGAGAGAGATTGCTTAGAAACTTAAGTGCAGGAATCCAAGGGGAGTCCAGGAAGATTTATGTACTATTTCAAGAGTAATTGCTCAGTAAAATTCTTGTTGGAATGTAAAAATCCTTGAAGAATTGCGTTCCCAGATTTAATTGTAATCCCTGCCTGAATCCTGCAAAAACATAATAGCATTGTTTAAAATGCTGGCCAGGAGCTGACAGCGCCCTTGGCCAAGACTGTACCTCAGCCCCCCTTCTCTCTCTCTCTCTCTCTCTCTCTCTCACACACACACACACACACACACACACACACATTTTCTCTCTCACACACACACACACTCTCTATCTCACATACACACACACACACATCCTCATCCTCCTCATTGTGGCCTTCACAACAATGGACAGTATTCCTGGCACTAACCTCAGCCATGGTTACAACAGGAGTTGTTTGGGTGTATTGATGGGCAGGTCAGCCATCTAACTCTGGAGCTGGTCAGAGAGCTAAGGACTCCTTTTGTTTGTGGCAGCCCACTGGACAGTGTGTAAGCAATAAATAAATTGGCTTAATGCAGGACATGGGGGATGGGGGAGGCAGTGAAGAGAGAGGCCTGCAGGGTAGGGTGAGTAAGTTATTTGATTTACTTTACTCCAAAGATGATCCCAGAAGAGCAGTCAGAAAATCATTCCCTTCGCCTCAGCTCCTCATGCTCCCCATCAGTACCAGTGTGCCCAGCTGTGGTCCAGCCGCCCACTGTTTATGGGATGGCCTTGCTTCTTTTCTCTCATTGCCGTGGGTCAGTAAGAAAGGGCAGTCTGTGGCATGGAGGTGATTAGGATGTAAATCTTCTTGGCCTCCCACAGGCCTCTGAACGGGGCTGTATTTCTCTGGTTCGAGGGCATTGGATTAAAAGTTGGCATTCCCGAAACTAAAGTTCACGTCAGTTTTACTCGTTATCAGTTTGGGAGATGTTGAGATGGAGGCTGAGCTTTGGACAGGGGCGGATCCAGAGCCGCCCCGTCTGTCTGAAGTAATGTCGAGGTGGCAGCTGAAAGCCAGGCCCAGCGCCTGGAGAAACTGCAGGTATGGCCTGGCCTGACGTCGCCAAGGGCAGGGGTCCAGAGGCTTCTGGACCCAGCGGCTCCAGCTGCAGACAGATGGAGAGCGTCTGGGCTCCATCACCCCAGGTCGGCCCCGGCAAGGATCTTTCTATTACAGTGGGAAAGTGGATAAGCAAGTCGCAGAGGGTAGCCAGGAAGAAGGTGAAAATTGACGCGAGCCCTGGGCGCTGACAGGCCTTTGATTGATGAGAGGATATTGTTAACAAGCCTTTAAAGTTTCTCATTAATGTTTTTTTTTTCATTGAAAAGAGCCACAAGAAAAAAAATACCACATGGACAGTAATGAAGATCGATCCTG